CTTTGGACCCCGTGGATCTTGGTTCTAATCCTTAGTTAGTTTCCTTACAGGATAATATGCACCTCATAAGGCTAATGTATGAAATCACAGAGAGCTTCCTCAAATAAGAGCTTAATAAATTATAATTATTATTATGATTATGCTCGTAGAAGTTATATGAAGGTAGACAGAGCAAGTGTTTTTATAGTGCACTTAGAGATGAAGAAATCAAGTCTTATAGAGTTTAAGGACATGTCAATGCCTGGTGTTCATGTTAGTGGTGAACAAGAAAAAAGAAAACAATTTAATTCCTTTTTTTTTTGGTGAGGAAGATTGGCCTTGAGTTAACATCTGTTCCCAATATTCCTCTTTTCACTTGAGGCAGATTGTTGCTGAGCTAACATCTGTGCTGATCTTCCTCTATTTTGTACGTGGGATGCCGTCACAGTATGGCTTGATGAGCGGTGTATAGGTTTGCACCTTGGATCCAAATCTGTGAACCCTGGGCCGCCAAAGCAGAGGGTGTGAACTTAACCACTACGCCATTGTGCTGGCCTCCACTTTTAATCCCTATTTTTGAGGAGTTTTCAATTAAGTTGGGGAAGAAGACAATTGTGGGAGAATGAGAATCAAGGATATGACATGATGGGTGAAGTTAGTCAGGGAAGACATCTTGGTGGAAGTGAGCCTTGAGCTCAGTTTGACTGAAATGTAGGATTATGGTTGTGATAGAAGAAAGAGGCAGTAGGAATAATATAGAGAAAACATCGAGGTGGGGTTAACCTCAGTAGCTGAACAATATTCATTTTCATGTCTAACGGCAGTACAAAAAATTATTACCATCTCAGTATTCATAGCATTATTCCTCATCAAAGTTTGTTGGTTTGATCCACTAATTGAAAGGTTTGGTTAAACAGAGTGGAAGACATTTAAATTTAAAGAATCAAGCCTAGTTCTATCACTCAGTTGAGTGGATCATGCATCTTTCGAAGGGGTTAAAGGAAGCCCTGTTCTCATTCCACACTTCTTTGCCCCCATCCCCAATGTGTAGAAGCTTTACCACCCACCTCCCACCTTGCATTGCTACATAAGAAAATAGTTTTACTTCAGATGCTTGGTTAAAAAATGCCCCCACTATAGTCACTATAGCATGATCAAGCTTGGGAATATGAGTAGAGAGGATGTTGTGGTAAAACTGTGAACTAGATAAGATTTATCATTATATTTTTTTCCATAATTGTTTATTTTCCCTGTAGACTAAATTTCATCATGCCCAGTCCATCTTCATCAGCATTTACTAAGCACCTACTTCTTTGTGTGAGGCTCTAAATGGAGCTCTGAGGATTCCAAGATGCATGCCCTGTATCTTTCAAGTCTAACTAAGAGATAAGACTTGAGGGGAGGTACATGCTTTAGAATATCTGGAAGCAGACCCAAGGGCAAGCTCATCTTTCTTCTTTATCTTTAGAACCAGTATTTGCCTTTACAGCGCCATGCCAAAGGGATATTCAAATTACAGCGCCATGCCAAAGGGATATTCAAATTACAGCGCCATGCCAAAGGGATATTCAAATTCTAAGATGAATAGCAACTGCTGTGTCTACTACGTCTATCAAGAAACTAACTCTAGCAGCCCTTCAATATTCAGCTTCTAGAAGTGTTTATCTGAGAGCCAGCCCCACAGAAATAAAATGATCTATATTTTCTATCAGTTTGGAAGTAAATCTACTATTATGAAATATCTGGCATAAGAAATGGAGCCTTTCTTTTATCCTTATATTTTTATTAATTTCAAGTAAATTTCCTAATTTCCCTTGACATTTACTTTGTGCCATTTCAACTTTATTCCAGCATACAGACATAGACTTGACCAAAAATGCAGCAATTCTATTTTTTCAAATGATTGCTTTTTGATAGAATTCTGAAGTGGTAAAGATTTTTAATAATATGTTAGTTTTTTCCTCTGCTACCTGATGCCTGATGCTAAAAGCTTTACTTTTTGATGTTTATTACCTGTCAGTTTGATTATATCAAATGGAAGAAAAAGGATAAAAGGCACTAAACACTAAGCTAGCTATGAAAATTGTTATAAGTGCTTAAGAAGTTTATGAGACAATACTTCTTTCTACTTTGATGATTTTTAGGGGGATTTTCACCAGTGACCACCAATATTTTATTCAAATACTTCTTTTTTTTTGGTGAGGAAGATTGTCATTGAGCCAACATCTATGCCAGGCTTCCTCTATTTTGTATGTGGGATTGTGGAATGCTGCCACAGCATGGCTTGATGAGTGGTTTGTAGGTCCGTGCCTGGGATCTGAACCCGCAAACCCCAGGCGACCAAAGTGGAGCACACGAACCCAACCACTATGCCACCAGAACGGCCCCCACAAATACTTCTTTTTATGACAACCTAGCATCATATTCCTTTTTAATTATCACATTAGGATAGTAAACACGTATAAAAATTTCCCTCAAATCATGCCATAAGTCCTGTACACCAAAAACAGCACTTCTGCTCTAAATAATTTAGAACTTGAAAAACAAACTCTATTACTATACAAGAGCCTGAAAAATCCTATGTGTATGATAATTCTCCAATTTGGGGAGAAAAATGTTCCAGAGTGGTCAAAATTCAATAAATCTTGGTCAAAGATTTACTAAAAAACTAAAATACAATTTTCCTGTGCTCTCTACAACCTGCCAATTTCCTGTCCTTTTCTCGATGGTCTCTGCAGGTTCCCTTCAATCTTTGTGAGCCATGGTTTGCTTTTATTACACCCCTGTGAGCAGGGACCATGAATGCACACATTTTACTGAACATATGCGTGGCTTTTTCTGCCCTCTGTGCTGGGATCAAGACTATTTTTCCATTGGGAAGTCAGACAATGTAACCAAGTCCCACTGGCACAGGCGCACATAAGTTCCTATTGGCATACAACTGGGAAGAAATATGGGGAGGAAGGAAAGGAGAGTGAAAAAGGGGAGCATCAGAGGAGGTGACATCAGAGAAAAAAAGGGCAGAATTAGAGGAAAATGAATCAGGGGTGATCCTTCCAACTCAACAAGGCAAGTCAATGTAACATTAGTATTGTCTTTCTGCACTCATGGGGGATTTACAGGAGGAACAAACAAAATGACACAGAAAGGCAGTAGGCCAGAATTCTCTGTAAACGTTTAGGCAACTGACGTAATTATTTGGTTCCTCTATCTTGAATACAGGAATAATCAGCTTCCATTTATTCATAGTTCATCCGAATGTGAAAGTTCCAAAATGGTTTTTCCCCCACAAAATTGGATATTAATAACTCAGGTTTACAATAGAGATCCTGAAGCTGTGACCATTTAAAAACGACTTGTGAATCATCGCATTTTAAATAGTGAATCCACTTGTTAATAAAATGCACCATATAATGCTTTTGGTATTAGGGGCACTTTAGCATATTCTCAGTCTTTAATAAATATATTTGTTCTAGTTCACAATCAACATACACTTAAAAGCTAACTTGGAATCCAAGGCAAGCATTAACCCAGGTATATTCCATCAAAGACTAGTACCAGATACTCTGAAAAAATTAGTAATGCTTATTTTTCCAGTCAGTTCTGCCTACGTAACACTTTGGGAATTGCTACTTGAGATATTCAATTTGTGTGTGATATAAAACAGCCAGTAAATTTTAGTTAAGAGACTATTACTCTGCTAAAACTAATATCTCCTTCCTCACCCTACGTATTCTGAATAAATGAGAGTTTCTGTATGTAATTTGGTAGTATTGATATGGACACTTCTTATCACTTAAAATAAGAGTTCTGAAGGATTTACAGAATGTTTACTGCATTTCATGATATTCGATGTTTTTATTCAAAATATTTTGCATTGCATGTTGAGAAACTGCATATATTATGTTGCATTGAAATAAGATGGTTTCACTGTACTGCAACACAATAGAAGAAGCAGTTAAAGACTAGCTAATTCTCAACCTCTTTGATTTTTTTTCTTTTTTGATTTTATGGGTCAGACAGACCTCAGGGTACTTGGACAAAACTACTTAGCATATTTGTTATACTCTATGGCAGACCTTGACTGGGAAGGGAGACTATGTTGATCTGATGTAGAGAAACAATGATAATTAATTGCTAAAATTACTGAGGAAAAAAGAAGTGAGTAAAGTATGACAACTATAAATCTTATCAATGGCATTTTGAGAAGTGTTTTATAAGGGAAAAATTCTGGTGATTAATAGGAGAGAAAGCCATCTGAGGGAGGTTGGGAATGAGCTGCATGTGGTTTAAGACAAAAAAGAGACCCCTGGAAGGAACAGAAATAAGATGATGACTCAGAAAAGATAAGACCGAGGTCTCCCTGGCAAAATTGTTGATTGATAGGTCAGTGTGTGGCTCTGGCCATCAGAATAGAAAAGAGAGGTTGATACTCTGCTGAGTTTGGTCAAGGGCTTCTGAGTAGTTCCAGGGTGTGAAATAAAGAACCCAGCTGTGCCTGCTCCTTGCCCAAGCGTTTACCAAAAGAAAGGCCAACCAGGGAAGCCACAGCCTGAATGGAAAGAATTTGTCTCTGTAGCTTTCCTGAGCTGGGGGAAGGGCACTCGAATAATAAAGGAGCTGGAGATCCGGGGCGGGAAGAGTCCCCATTTAATGTCTTGGTCAAGGAGTTCACATTGCTATATATCATGTGGTGTTAGTTAATCTTAACCCAACTGTGCCAACAGGAAATGCAAGATTTGATGGGTGAGGAAAGACCACCACTTGATTCAAACCAAGACGGTAGTTGGTAAATCTTATTTAGCACCTTTCTTGCTTGTAAGAATGACATTGGAGTTTTCATAGATAGACTTTGGAATATAACTAGTCTCCCAATAAATTCTTCCTAACACAAGTTTCATTTTGGGAGGTGGGGGCTAAAAGAGTACTATAATATGCATATTTTGAATTCTAATTTTATTCGATTCTTTTGATAGCAGCTCTATGAGAAGTCACACACAGGGGCAGCTCCCAGGACTTACGTCTCTTCCAATCAGGTCCTCCTGGTTTTCCACAATTCCCCAGGGGGCGATACCTATGGTACATATCTTCCCCCGAGACTTAGATGCGTGGTCCTTTAAGGCGTCTCCAACGTGACGAATAACACCTAAAAGGAAAAAGACAAGTTTTAGTCTCGCCTTTTAAAGCAATTACTTTCCATTGTTCTAAAGGAAATTGTGAAACTGTTTCTCCCAAGATTAAATGCATTGAATATGAAATGTTGACACATTTCTACATGAACTACGTGTGTTCAGGAGAGAACAGAAATTTGTGGCTTTACTGCTAGAGATATTTGCTATACTTGTATATAAACTCTAGCAATGCATTTCTTATTCTAATTCATATTTTAAAAAAAGCATCCAGGAGCAGGCCTGGTGGTGTAGTGGTTAAGTTCGAGTGTTCCAGTTTGGTGGCCTGGGGTTCACTGGTTTTGATCCCAGGCGTGACCTAGACATTGCTCATCAAGCCATGCTGCAGTGGTGTCCCTCATACACAATAGAGGAAGATTGGCACAGATGTTAGCTCAGTGACAATCTTCCTCACCAAAAAAAAAAAAAAAAAAAAAAAATCCAATGTCTATAAAAAGAATACAAATTTTAACTTAGAGAATCTTTTTACTGTATTATAAGCATAATGATGTGTTAGTGTGACTAAGAACCAATAGCATGATTGTATCCTATAAAAAGCACTATATATAATATTGCATTAATCCTACGCCACACTTTGTGAATAAGATAGGGTCATTCATATAGAGTAGTTACTAGCTCAGATTCTGTTAACCTTGATTTCTTCTTCCTATTTAAGGACAATTAGTATGGAAAGTCTATTTGTAAAGAAAATGTTGGCATATTCTGTGGAAAATTCATGTTAAAAATATGTAAATACACCTTTTTATCCTCATCATTCTAATATTTTCCTCTTCTGTCATGATGGCCTTTGCCATCCCTGTGGCCTTTCTCATCACAGTTAAAAATGAGAAAATCCAGTTTACAAGATGGTGGGGAACCTACCTCTTATCTTTCTATAAACCATTTGAAGAAGATGCAATGTCTAATTTTTAACCTGCCTCTCAAATGATTATTTTTATAGAAGATATAAAATACATTCTCTAAGAAAAGATGTTTTTACTTATGAAAATTCCACCCATTCCTCAAGGAAAAATTCACACCTAATGCCATCTCCTAAATGAAAGCTGAGTTGCATTTGAATTTTTCTCCATTTGAATAGGATTGCAGTTTGCATCTCTTGAATAGCTCAATATGTCACGTAACATATTCTCCTGTGATTCATAATCATGTATGAGGATGTCTCCTCTCATTGTAAAATTCCTTGAGGGGACGGTTGGAGAGTCAGCGTCTTACTCATCTCCTTGTGCCTCAGGGGGTAGCACAGAGCACAGGCTCAGAAACTAAGCACTGGACTAAGCACACAAAACACACCAGGCAATGTAATCATGGGAGAGGACATACACATGTCAACAGCTCAGTTCTGAAATATTCATAAGATCAAACAGAAAGAACCTCCTTTAGAAAAATCTAATAACCAAATAGTGTAAATAGCCACTAATCCATGTTGAGCTACACTGGGAGCGTTGAGAAGAATATCAATTCAGTTAGGATCTTCTCTATGGATCTTCTAAGTGAGAGTACTGGTAAAACAGAAACACATACAAGAGTAAAGTTGTGAATATTAGTGTTAAATTTTTTCCTATTAATACGCAAAACTCCTTTCGGGGCCAGTCCTGGATAAGCAGTTTAACCTCATGGTATGCCCCTCCATCTGTCACAATGCTCCCGTCATCTCTTACCTAATCTCAGTGTGCCACCATCAGGACCTATTTGTTGTAAAGTCTTTTGTGAATTTATGCTGTAAATGATTGTTTTGATACTGAATACATTTCATAAAAGAAGAAAAACAGTAAACAATGTTCCAAGTTACCAGAAACAGAAGATAGGTAAGAATTTCTTTTGGAGCTTTAGAAACCTGTGAGTTGGTCTCTACATGAGTTACAGGTTATGTCAGGAAAGCAAAAGACTGAACAATCACCAGGTCTGGTATCTCTGTCGTGAGCATCCTTGCGGCAAACATTTTGGCTGCATGACTAATTGGCCGTAAAGCAAATTTGCCATAAAAGATAACATAACTGGTTGATGGAACCAGTTATTGCTTATTTCTATTGACTTGATAGGAAATACAGTAGTAAAACTTCCTGGAAGTTTGAAATATGAGATTGTGAAGCCAGATTGCATATTATACTAGAAAATGATAACGTATCAGTTAGCAAATCCTTTGGTGAGCATAGTCATCTCTCAAGACCCCTCAAAACCTAAAGTCGACCAAGCTCTGGCGAATATAAAAAAGGAGGCTAGTCATTCACAACAGTCTGCGAGAGTATTATGGATTCTTTAGCTAATTTAGATACAACAGCTTGTTCTCTAAGCTGTCTTCACCAAATTTATCATGCAATATTAGAAGATGAGGCAAAAGAAGAATCAAGCCCCTACTCCTCCCCTCCCCCAAAGAAATGGTTATATGATTCCTGGGAGTGTCATTTTCTTGAAAATGGTCAAGACACTTTTTGCTAGTTGCTAGTGGAGAATCTGACGTTGTGGACAGCAGTAACAGAATGGAGTAACTTTGTCAGGACTTCTAAAATGGACCTGGGAGACCATTACGGAAGTGAGGCTAATGGATGAGCACCATGTCTCTGTGCAGATGGAATGTGCCTTTCTGAACTCTGCCTCACTGTCGTTCCCTTGACCTTCCTTGAAGAAAAGGAAAAAATGCTTACACCTATAGAAGAATGCTTACTCCCGTAGATAAGAAGCTTTTTTGCCTTAGAGATGGCCTTAGCAACCAATCACGGGTAGCCAAGGAATGAGAGTTGTTGCCAGGACCGATCATGCGTCTCGGCAAAACAACCTGTGTGAGGACTCTCTTTCTGTCTTTATAAATCCTTAGCTTCTTTATCTTCTCCAGAGCACATTTTGGGTTTCTGCCTAAATCTGTGTCTCCTGAATTGCAATTCTCAATGCCAAAATAAACACCTGTTGTTTAAGTTGCAGTGACTTTCCTCGGTTGACAGAATTTTGGGATTTGGCACAGAGTCTGGCTTAGATGATTTGATGAAATATAAGGACTGGGCACATGATGGAACATTTAGATGTAGTCCAGATATGTACTACATGTTCATTATGTCCTTTTTAATGTTCTTCTTTTATTTATTTTTATTTTCTCTTTTACAGCAAAATTACCTTATGGCCAATTAGGTATGTGGTGAAAATGTTTGCAGCAAAAATGCCTGTGGTTGAGCCAGCCCTGACGGCCCTAGCAGTTAAATTTTGGCGTGCTCTGCTTTGGCAACCCAGGTTCAGTTCCCAGGTGCAGAACGACACACTCATCTGTCAGCAGCCATGCTGTTGGGGACAGCTCACATAGAAAAACTAGAAGAACTTACAACTATACACAGCTATGTACTGTGGCTTTAGGGGGGAAAAACAAGGAAGAAAAAGGAGGAAGATTGGCAACAGATATTAGCATAGGGTGAATCTTCCCCTGCAAAAAACAGGACTACTGAATTCCCTGTAGGGCACCTTAAAAAAAATGCTTGTGGCAAAGATGTCTGCAGCAAAAATGCTTACGGCAAAAGTACCCAGAACCATAATCACAGGCGCATGATGCCTGCTAAGCTGTGAGGGAAAGTTGACGCCTAAAGCCTGAACAGTCACTGAAAGAAAATTGCTCTGTAGATATTTGATTACTACAAAATAAACAGCGAAGAGCTGACTGAGCAGGTCACTCTACAATCGTGTCAGTTTACAGACTGAGTCAGGATTTAACCTAACAATGATGAGCATGGTCATCAGCAGAGTTCATGGCTGAAAGGTACCTATGGAGTTGTCTGCTGAATGTTCACAAATTCTAGGTATTGAGGAGAATTCTGAAGGCAAGTCTCACTCAGACATCATGTGAACCACAAAAAAGGGAATAAATAACCTTGAGATAACCTTTTATTTAAAACTAGTTGGTCTAGGGTTATGTTTAGAATGTCCCACTAACTCAAAATGTGTCCCCATGTGCAGACTTTGAGCCTTATGACAAGTTTGAATTAACTTACAGCAGCATTACTTGGGCACTTCCAATTGACACTTCTGACTCAGGCTGCGGAAATATGTCAACATGATTTACAGGCATCCCTTCCATTATCTGTTGTACATCAATAATGTTCTGCAGATAAGCACTTAACTATAAGTGAGTTTGTAACAATTGATTTGTCAGCCTGCCCGTATCACAATATAGAAACTCATCTGGCAGGTAGAAAAAACTGTGTGGAATGCAGAGTAGGGTGTGTCTTCTGTTGGTGCAGAGATGGATTTAATGAAATATTTTTAATGATAAACACATAATATTCCGGACTTTGCTTGTGACAATTTATGTCCCAGATGGAAAGAGCATTTTATAAAAGTTAAAGCTATTTGCATTAAACTTAAAATCCCTTAAAGAACAGAGGCAGAGCTTCCAATTTAGAGGAAAAGTTATTCCTTAAAAAATTATTGCATGCTTATTTGACAACTGGAGATATGGAAATCTCCTGTGAAATTCCATTAGTCACGTTTACAAATTCTGTACGGTCATGTATTAAATAGCCCAACCCGTTTCTTAGGTGTAAGTAATTCTTGGTTTAGAGGTAACAGTGCAGTTATCATGTAGGTAAAAGAGGGAGAGAGAATCAGCGAGAGGAGAAATAACCAGTGAGTGTGGACACGTGGGTAGGGAATGAGGTGGGGGAATATAAACGAATTCAACCTTGGGAGAAAATTATCTTAGTCACAACATTCTCCCGGCCATATGTTGTCTTTCTCTGTCCCATTTCCAATTACCTGTGTTAACCCCTCCAGTGAATATCCACGCGCCAGTTGTCATGGCCGCTTTGATGAGGCCTTTCCCGAAGACTTGCTTGAGCTTCGGCTGCAGTTCAAAGTTCTGCAGGCCCCCGTGGACAGAGATGAGAAGCTTGGGAAGCTCCAGCTGCCACTCCTTGGTCATCAGGTGTAGGAGGAGATCAGCTTTTGTATCGAAAGATACCCGCACATACTGGAAGAAGAACGGCCTTCGATCAGAGAGACAGGGCAGGGCTGCGCGCCACGGCTCATCTTTAGTGATTGCAATGATGTGTGTAGTTACTTGAAGAGAGCGTCTCATAATAAATCAGATTTTTTGAAATGGGCAAATCAACTGCTTTACTAAAAGAGCCTTCGTTAGACAAAGGGATTCACCATTTTTAAAGGTTTTCCCGAAACTGTGAATTACTACAAACTTGAACATTATTTAACTTTCTAAAATCAGCACAAGCACAACTTTTCCCAAAATGCGTTCTTTCTTAAGAGGAAATCATGTTTTATCAACCTTAACATTTGTGCAACAGTTCAAGTGTTTCTAATACGTTTAATATAAGTAATCCCTTTATACCAACTGGACCTAGATGTAACTGTTTCTGTGACTCTATTATTTCAAGAGGTTTTGAAAATTCTATAGTTCTACATAACGTAATGAGAATTTTAAAATAAGGTAACAGCTGATTATTTAAATCAATAATAACTACATACCAATTGTTTTCTTTATCTTTTAAAGAAAAGTGACAAAAGGCACGCCAATTATTCTTGTAGAATAGTTGAAAAAAATTAAAATGTATAGCAGATATCAAGGTATTACCAGATGAAACCGGAAATAAAGTTGTGATAGGTACATATTAATGAAATGCCATAAATACATACAATGGTAAACATCTATATAACCATGTATATAGATACTCATTTAGGTCTCAGTTTAATTATGTAAAGATTTCATCTCTAGCTGGAAACAACTGAAATACTGGGCAAATATATTTGTAAAGCTTTTGAAATGCATTGCTGAGCTGGCATGAAAAGAGGGAATATGCAGATTCCCAAACAAAGTGGAAGCTGGATCCTTAGGAGGGTAGGAAGTGGGAAAGCAGGCTTTGGCCCTCAGAGTTTGTCCTAAATCCTGGAAGACCTTGAGCTTCTCCTTTAATGGCTTTATGTAGTATGGGGGGGGGGTCTCATGGGGGCCCCACATAAAGATGAGATACTTCAAAAGACTCCACTCTCAGGTGGAAAGAAGAAAAATAAGTCTGATGTACAGAGGAAGTGAACAACGAAACTTGTCTGCCTCAACAGTGATTCTGAGTGGATAGGAAGAAAATTCTCCTCTGATGATTTATAAACAAAGGTGAGCCCTCACACAAGTTTTGGTCCACATTCACACTATTAGCGTGGTTTGAGAAACAGCAAATAGGGTATTTGATGCAAGTTCTGGTGGGGTGGTGGCTCCAGACAACGGGCAGAAGCAAATGCAGATCCTCTGTGGAGGAATGAGTCATCAACCCAGGTCTCAGAGAATTCCTGGGGAAAATAAACATTTCATAGGCAAAATATAAAATCACAAATTACACCAGGAAATAAAGCAGCATGAAGGAGAACCAAAAGAAACAACAGGTAGCAGAGTAAGAGCCTCAAAGACGCTGAAATGCTCGGAGAATATAAAATGGCTACATTAAACATGTTAAAAAACATATATGAAAAGATTGAATATATGAGTAAGGAACAAGAGACTGTAAGGAAGGACCACATATATTTCGGAAAAAAAAATCAAAAGCAGAACCTCTAGAAATTAAAATGTAATAATTTAAATGAAAAATACAACAGATAAACTACAGATCAGACACACTAACAACAGATCCAGAGAAATAAACCAGATGCAACCTAGAAAGACAAAGCAATTGAAAACAGAAAAGAAAAAACTGATGACCTTAGAGGAGAGAATCAGAATCGCAGTAGAAATAAAAGAGATACCAAGGAAGAGGAAATACTTGAATAGAGATTGGCTGGGAATTTCTCAGAATTATTGAAAGATACCAATTCTCAGATCTAGGAGGCTCAATGAATCCCAAGCGGGATAGATAAAAAGAAACCTCACCCGCAGATACCTCATAAAGAACACCAAAGGGAGGGAAAAAAATCCTTCAAAAGCAGCTAGAAAAAAAGGGCAGATCACCTACAAAGAAACAGTCAGCAGCCTGAAGATTACTCCTCAGCAGCAACAATGGAAGCTAGAAGCCAGTGTCTTCAACGTGCCAAGAGAAATTAGCTGTCCGTCTAGAATTCTATATTCAGCAAAAACATCTTTCCAAAATGAGAGCAAATTACAGACCTTTTCAGACTACCAAAACTGAATTTACCTCAAGCAGACTTCACCGAAGGAAATTTTAAAATATCTAGAGCAGCCAGAAGTTCCATGCTCCCAAATGGATGGTCTGGGATGCAAGAAAGAATGATAAACAAAGATCATTAGCAAATATATGGTAAATCTAAAAGAGCATCGGCTGCAAAATATAAAAGGATAATAATGTCTAATTTAGAGTGGAAAGGGATAGAGCTAAAGCACTGGCTAACATAGTGTATAAATTGGGTGGTAGGAGTCAGAGTTAAAGCATTCTGAAGTCTATATGTTGCGTGGGAGAGAAGAAAAAGGTGTTGATTAAGTTTGGAATTTATTAAGTAATAATGTTGGAGTAGCATTACCACAAAAAGAATAGACCTGCATGTAATCATACAAACGTATATTTTCAGATGCATAAACAAATAAGGTTATCGAGGAGATGACAATTTATTGCCATGTTTTCAGATCTGGGAGGCCCCACTGTTGTAAAAACCTCAAAATTTATATGTCAGTTCTTTTGTTAAAGTCTATTTTAAATGTATTTAACTGAAATGTGACGCAAAACGGACAAAATACACAAGTAGCTTGATAAAATAAACTGCCTCATCAAGAAATACCAAAGAGCGAAAATTTCCCACACACATATACCAGAAATCCAAAGCAGTGCTGGAATCTAAGAAGTTCGTTCTATACTGATCTGATCCACCTAGCAAAAATCAGTTCCAGAATGGGAAGGGCAAAGGTTGGCAATTTTAGCTAAGTGCATCATAGCAATAGAATGCAACTAGAGCTTGCGATATGAGAAATGGTATATTTTGTACACAAACTCTCATGCAGAGGGGAAGAACTTTCCGATACCGATCAACAGAAAAGTTCAACAACAATGTGCACTTCTGTGCCATGCAAGGAGCCTCAGGGCAGGAGAGAGGGTATTGCATTCGTGGAAGCAAACACAAGAGTTTCTTAAATAAAAACTTCTTTATTGTTATATATATTATCTCATTGAGTGACTGCTTATCAGAAAAACATCTAGATAATGAATGCTATAAGATGAAAGAATAAAATGTTTTCTGTGCCTGTACACTGAGTCTATGCTACTTGAGCAGTTAAAATTTGGTGGCTCTGCTAGATTGAATTTGTGTCATTTTCACTAATTCCAGAAAGGGATATTTAGTGAAGAAACTAGAACTGGGATTCACAAGGCTTCCAGAATATACAAACCAAGAATGCTTAGTGTAAGAGATGGTAAGAAATTGCCTTTCAAGTTACTTCTCCTATTCATCAACTTTAATATGTTACTCTCTTATTCCTTCTAAAAAAACCCAGCTAAATAAGGACCCATATTCTTCTAAGGTGAGACATAAATCACATTTTTCTTAAAGATAGAAAAACATCTAAAGATACTTTTAAAATTGTGCCCCTCGCAAGCTTAGATAGCAGTTCCTAACGTTTATGAAGGATCATAAAGATGTATTCCAATGATTAGAGAAGGCGCATATGAGAATGGTATGTTTTGAAAAACAGGAAAATTAGTTCTAATTGTGGTTTTTGGAACTTCAAGATGCCTAACAGCATCCCCACCTGTACATTTCATTTAGTCAGGTAAATATGTGAGATTCAGAGTCATAGTTCGTATCTGCATAACTCACATGGTATGAAGAGAGATTACAATTCATACTAAATCATGACAGAGATTGTGTAATAATTTTAGCAAGCTTAACCTCGCTAAATAACATATTATGGAGTTCAATTATTCATACTAAACGGTAATAATAAGCCAAATGCATTTTTTTTTTTCTGATGAGGAAGATTGACTCTGAGCTAACATCTGTGGCAATATTCCCCTTTTTTTTGCTTGAGGAAGATTGTCACGGAGCTAACATCTGTGCCAATCTTGCTTTATTTTGTATGTGGGATGCTGCCACAGCATGGCTTGATGAGTGGTGCGTAGGTCCATGCCTGGGATCCGAACCTGTGAACCCTGGGCTGCTGAAGTGGAGTGTGTGAACTTAACCACTATGCCACTGGGCCAGCCCCCCAAATGCATTTTTAGGAATAAGACTCCTTGGTAAATAATTCACTTTGAGGCTTCTAAAGTTACATATACAGCTTACCGGTAAGAAACCAATTGATTGAACATGCGAGCAGCTCACTGGAAAATGACCAACGACTCTATTGAGTACGTATGTTGAAATTCCTTTTGCATTAGCCTAAACTTTTTCTTTCTTAAGAAACTAAGAAGAGCTTGTTCGTGATCACAGAACACTTGTTACTCAGCTAATAAGTGCTCCAGTGAGGGAATGAATGAATGACCATAGATCACCTAGTCCCCAGCTCCCTGTCTTACAGATGAAGAAATGGAGGCTCTCAGTGTCTGGCCTGTGTAAGGTCACATTGTTTTTAGGCTCTTTTCACATATGTTCTCTTGATTCTCATTTTCTTAACTCTTCTGAGAAAAAAACCCCTCAAAACCCAAACCCCAAATCTTTGCATATTTACTGTGTTCCAGGCACACACATGCTGTGTGTTTCCCTGCATCATTTCATGGACTCCTCCCAATACCAAGGAAGTTGGTAGCATCCACATTTTACTGATGGGGACAGAAGGGATCCATCAGGTTCTCAAGTTCAACTGCTAATAAGTGGTGAGGGCAGGATTCATACCCAGGTCTGTCTGATTCCAGAGTCCTTGCTCTTGACGTCAAAAATATAAATGCTTCTCTCTCCTTCTCCTTTTCTTTCACCCACAACCAAGCAGTCTCCAGTCCCAATGATCCATTTCTCAAAATGATGCTCGGATCTGGGCCCTTCCCTCTGTTCCTCCAATTGCTGTTTTAAAAATAAATTCTCCTTACT